TGGGCACCAGTTACCCCCGGTAAGTATGACAGTAAGGCAATGCTTACTGGGTAACTTGTTAACCCTTTACATCCTTAGTACTGACTTTGCTAGTGCTTTCAGTGCAGTCTGTTGTAAAACTAGGCAAATGTCTAAACGAGTTGGTGTACCCTCTGGAAGATGTCTGAGTACCCCCAGTGGACTAGAGTATGTTTTTATTGTGAGGGGACGAGTGAGAGGAGGGTGACAGGTTGAGAAGAGGAAATAAGGGAACGAGAGTGCATGTGAGGAGATCAGGAGATGGCATGGGATTGGTTTACTGAGGCTTAGAGAAGAAGAGCAGACTAACTTCTGTATTTCCAACAGGAGAGAAACAGAGATCTATAGGAGCAGATTGGGAAAAGAAGGAAGTCTAGGGGAGAGGGAAAAGTCATTTTGCCTATGTTAAGTTTTTCTTCGAATTCTGCAACATCCTGTACAGAGAGGGAAAGGGAGACGGGAAGAGAGGAGGGTTTGAGCAGTGTGTGTAAGATGTTAAAAAGATGGCTGGGCTGGAGGACGTGACCAGTGTTCCCTCTAATTTTTTCCATCCATGTGCAGGATAAATTTTATGTGCACTGAGGCATATGTGGATCTGCATCACCTGTAGAAACACATGCTGACAACTGTGAGAAATCTGCTAATCAGCTAGCCGGCATTTGAATCTCTTTTTGGTGGCTGCCCAAGTGCACCGCTTACACAGAACAATGGACAGAACATTCAGTTAAGTTGGAGAAGTAGAATTGCTTGGGAAGGTGGCAGAAGTGAAGAAGGAGAGAATGCATTTGTAGTGAAGGAAGTTAACCTGTGATCCTCAGCTATATAAGAGCAGGTGCAGAAGGAAGTAGATTTTGTGGCTGAGCCAAGGCTGCAAATTGACAGGATGAATCTTGCCAAAGAATCAAAATGTGGAGGGGAATGAAGCCTGGAGAGAATTGTCCATCACATTCTTCTGCTCTACTCTGTGCTTATTAGGCCTCAGCTGGAATGCTGTGTCCAGTTCTGGGTACCACTTTTCAGGTAAGATGTGGACAAATTGGAGAAGGTCCAGAGAAGAGCAATAAAATGATTAAAGGTCTAGAAAACATGACCTATAAGGGAAGACTGAAGAATTTGGATTTTTAGTTTGGAAAAGAGAAGACTGAGAAGGGATCTAACATTTTAGATATCTGAAAGCTGTTACAAGGAGGATGGAAAGAAAATTATTCTCCTCTGATAAGACAAAAAGCAATGTGCAAAAATTGCACAAGGGAGGTTTAGGTTGGACAGTAGGAAAAAGTTCCCAATGGTCAGGGTTCTGGAGCACTGGAATAAATTACCTAGGAAAGGTGTGGAATATCATTGGAGATTTTTAAGTGCAGGCTGGACAAACACCTATCAGGGATGGTCTAGATACTGCTTTATCTTGCTCTTGTCTGGCCCCCTTTCCATTCCACCACCTGTGCTGTTGCCTTCCTATCAGAGGCAGCAGTGGGGGTGGGGTGTGGGGAGCCAGCTCCATGGGAGCTGCTACTCATAGGCAGCTAGCTTAAAAAAGCCAGCTTCCCGCATTTGTCGGCTCCCACCTGCCCTGCCCTCCCCACCCACTAGGCTGCTACTTCTGTAGGAGGCAGCAGCTGGGGAGGGGGGCAGGCCACTTGGCAAGAGCTGATATGCATGGGGAGATGGCTCTGTTAGCTCTCAATGCGTGTCAGCTCCGTGGAGCCATGCCGTCTCCTTGTTGCCTCCCAACCCGTTCAGTTGGTTAAATGCAGCGCTAATGCTGTGTTTAACCATTTAACGAGGGATGGGTGATAGGTCTGGAGTAGCCCTTCACCCGCAGCAGGTTGCTCCCTGGGTACCAGTTAATCATTACATGATTACCCATTAACAGGGCTTGACAAACCACAGAATCTACTCACCTGTGGTGAGTAGATTTTAGCCGCACGCCCTGATTACCGGCGGCGCGCACATGTGCAATATGGCTCTTGCGCATGCACAGTGTGGGGCTGGCGAGCGGCTTTTGCCGCTGTTTGTCAAGCCCTGCCCATTAAAATCCCTAGTGGCTATGCCGGCAAATTTCTTTTATATAGGCAAGGAAGCCCGTCTTCTAGCTGTCCTAAAAATGTGCAAGTTTTAGCTCCACCCAGCTATTGTAACAGGTTATTTTATCAATATAATCATCTAGGAGGAAAGAAACAAATCTCTTTGTAAGGTCACTGACCCTCTGGTCCTTCACAGGTTGATGTTGTCCCTCATTCATAATGGTTTCAGAGGTAGCTGTGTTAGTTTGTTTCAGCAAAAATAACAAGGAGTCTGGTGTCACCTTAAAGACTGACAAATTTATTATGGCATAAGCTCAATCATGAATTTGTGGAATTAGAACATAATGACTCCTTATGACAAGGGATGTTAAAATACATATATTTGTGTAAATTAAGGGTGTAATAGTGTAGTCGATTAAGCAATAGCTTTTATGTTAATTCTATAGGTTATGTGCATCCCCCCTACCCGCTGGTAAATTTTTTTAGCAGGCTGGCCAGCAGCCAGGCTTAGTTCTGTCTTGCAACTGGTCCAGGACCTATCCCTGATGCAGCTCTGCATTTAAAGTGTTTTAGGAGCTGGGCAGGCAGCCCAGCTCAGTTCTGGCTCACACTGCGCCTGGGAGCTCAGACCCACCACTAGATAGGGACTGCTGCCATCCCACGCTGCTGCCACTATATCAGAGGCAGCAATACAGGGTGGTAGGCAGCTGATCCGTGAGGGGAGTTGGTTTTTAAACTGGCTCCCCTTGCGGACTAGCTGTCGCCTGGCATCCCATGCTGCTGCCTCTGATACAGAGGTGGCAGGGGGCTCCTCAGGACTGAGGCTGGAGTGCACTGGCCACTGACCCCGCTCCTGGGGACACTAGGATAGTCAATTAACTGATAAGAATTCATGAGATTACTTGACTATTCAAAATACAGGACTATGTAGCACTTTAAAGACTAACAAGATAGTTTATTAGATGATGAGCTTTCGTGGGCCAAACCCACTTCCTCAGATCAAATAGTGGAAGAAAATAGTCACAACCATATATACCAAAGGATACAATTAAAAAAATGAACACATGTGAAAAGGACAAATCACATTTCAGAACAGAAGGGGGATGTGGGGTGGGGGGGGAGGTAAATGTCTGTGAGCTAATGGTATTAGAGGTGATAATTGGGTAAGATAGCCTCCCCAATTATCACCTCTAATACCATTAGCTCACAGACATTTACCTCCCCCCCCACCCCACATCCCCCTTCTGTTCTGAAATGTGATTTGTCCTTTTCACATGTGTTCATTTTTTTAATTGTATCCTTTGGTATATATGGTTGTGACTATTTTCTTCCACTATTTGATCTGAGGAAGTGGGTTTGGCCCACGAAAGCTCATCATCTAATAAACTATCTTGTTAGTCTTTAAAGTGCTACATAGTCCTGTATTTTGAATAGTCAAGTAATCTCATGAATTCTTATCAGTTAATTGACTATCCTAGTGTCCCCAGGAGCGGGGTCAGTGGCCAGTGCACTCCAGCCTCAGTCCTGAGGAGCCCCCTGCCACCTCTGTATCAGAGGCAGCAGCATGGGATGCCAGGCGACAGCTAGTCCGCAAGGGGAGCCAGTTTAAAAACCAACTCCCCTCACGGATCAGCTGCCTACCACCCTGTATTGCTGCCTCTGATATAGTGGCAGCAGCGTGGGATGGCAGCAGTCCCTATCTAGTGGTGGGTCTGAGCTCCCAGGCGCAGTGTGAGCCAGAACTGAGCTGGGCTGCCTGCCCAGCTCCTAAAACACTTTAAATGCAGAGCTGCATCAGGGATAGGTCCTGGGGGGAGGGGCAGTTGACACATGGGGAGCTGACTTGAAAGCAGACTCCTCGCATGTATCGGCCCCCCACTCTTCCAACCCCCAGCTGCTTCTGATACATTGGCAGCAGGGAGTGTGTGCACACGTGTAACCATGCTGGTTAGCCAATAAGCCCAGGTTTATCGGTTAACCATTTACATGAATACACATTGACATCCCTACTTTTGATTGGAAATTAATAAACTCCTTTTCCAAAGAAATTTCTGCCTGTCTCCTTACTTATGTGAGTACAGTAACTTTTGCAACCATTCAGTGACTATTTGAGTGTTTACTAAACTGGACTGTTCCCTTTTTAATAGGTGAGGAAAGAGTTCAGAATGGTGTTTTTGTGAGTGTGAGTTTCACAATGTAAAAGTGCAGCACTGAAACAAGCACAGTATGGGCAAGAAAATTGTTCAGTAGACAACTTTGGTGATTTCCTTTCTCTTCTGTTACCAGATAGTGTCTCTAGCCATAATCTTCTGTATTCTTTGTCTATTCTTAGTCATAAGTTTATCATATAGAAACAAAAACTTGAAAGTATTTAATTCACACTGCCTTGTGGAAGTGCAGCTAGCACATTATTGGGTAGTTATGGTTATCCACCTTCATTTGGTTTCTTTCTTTTCATTCCAACTGAACAATTTTTATTCTCATCTTGTATTTGTGATTGAGCTGGGGTACTGACATCATTGCATAATGGTTTGGTTAGCACACAGTGTGTGTGTGTTCTCTTATGCAGTCATGTCAAAATACGAGAGTGATTGTAAAATTGGCCTTCCACAAGACTTTGATAAGGCATTAACAGAGTTGTGTTCATTACTCAAACTTACCTGCCTGACACAAACTAGTCAAAATATAAGTACACTAAGAATGTTAACAAGCGATTAATTTGCTAGTCAAGTAGTCGAGGGAATTTCCATCGACTATTTGACTAGTTGATAGGCACTTCCGCATTATGCCTTTGAAATGTACAAGAGCCCCAGCAGGAGCTCTCGTGCATTTCAAAGTGGAAGGCCCCCTAGGGATGTTAAGTATTGATTAATTTACTAGTTGAGTAGTTGATGGAATTTCCATTGACTACTTGACTAGCTGTTACAGAAGGGCGCTTAAAGTGCTCACTTCCAGCTCAGGCTGCGTCTGAGCACAACTCCTGGCTGCCACTCTGCAGTCTTAAAGGGACAGAGGGGAGCAGCATGCAAAGATGCTAGGCACCACCCGCGTCGACTCTGGTAGCTGCAGAAGAGAGCCTTTTGAGAAGGGCTTCACTGTGCTGCTGTTCTCCCAACTTGAGGGGAGGAGGAGCAGCAGTGCACCGAGTTACTTCTTCCCTCTGCCAAACCACATGTGTTCCTGGATCAGGGTCATCCGAAGAATGGAGGTTCAGGTATATTACCTTATGCACAAGAAAAATAACAATCTCAAAATATAGTCATGAGCATGGCTCGACAAACTATAGAATCTACTCGCCCATGGCAAGTAGATTTCAGCTGCGTGCCCCATTTACCGGTGGCGCACACATGCACAATGCAGCTCTTGCACATGCGCAGTGCGGGACTGGCGAGTGGCTTTCACCGCTGTTTGTCAAGCCCTGGTCATGAGTTTAGAAAGGCAGTAATACAAGTCTTACAGCTCACAATCAGATTACCCCAATGGCCTGTATGTGGCTCATGTGCTGCAGATTGCCACCATTGATCCAAGTGGAGCTGGAGTATGTTATGGCTATATGTGGCACAAAATTGCTTGGAATGGGGGGGTAAGAGGAGATGCACAATAAGCTTCATCTGCTATTTAATACTGTACCATATGGTATAGTAGTGAATAACTGTAGTTGAGATGTGTGGACATCTACTGCACTGCCTCCACTTAGCTCTGAGGAGCAAAGTCCTTTACTCCAGGTTTGACTGTTGACCTAAATCATAGCCCTAAGGGAATACTGTAGCTTATTCCTAAAAAAAAAAAAAAAAAAAAAGTGGCATCAATTGCTTAACAAAATAATTGAATTTTTTGGGGTGCAGTACCTCAGGGAACTTTGTATGATAGGAACACTTTCTGTATTCACAGAGGTTTTTGTCATGAAGTAGTAAACATTTGTCTTTAGTGTATTGATTGGGATACTTCTCTATTTAATTCTGCAAACTGGGGACAAAATTGTAATCTGAGGTAGATGATGGAAATTCAGAAAAGTTTGTTCTCTTTTTTAAAAAAGGAAAAAAAAATCCCCAATAATATACTTAGTGGCTTTTCACCTGTAAATTACTTGACAAGCACTAGCTCTCAGGATAGTTACTCTATTTTGTAGATCTGGAAGCTGATCTTTGAGCCCATCAGGTCTTTAAGAAATGACTGAAGAAATAAGCCACATAATACTTCTTGGTTTGCTGCAAAGTAAATTTGATTCTACTATTTCTGAATTTGCCTCTTGGCTTTTACCACAATGGACTTTTTTGTTTTGTTTTTTTATTGGAAAACTATTGAGGGTTTATAGTTTTTTCTCTTCTGATTTTTTTCAAAGTTTATATTTAAGAATAGCAAAATTAGACTGTCATTTTTTAATTGATTTTCATTAAATATAAATAAAGCTCACAATAAGTATGGGAGATCTTTAGGGTTTGCTGGACAGCCTCTGTGAATAAATTTCAGCAAAGTAAATTCAGGTATCATTCAGAGTGTTCTATAAAAATCATTTTTTTGGATATCATTTTATTGGGTTTAACCTCAAATCTCTAATCCTTTTTATAAAGATTCATCTAAAGGAGTCTGATTTTATTTAACTTAAGGTACTGGACTTGGTTATGCAAAATCCAATAACTTTAGAATATTAACTAAAGTTACAGCATTCAAAATCAGATTAACTTGATATTTATGGGGAGAAAATGATCATCGAGGTTTCAGTTTTTCACTCCCTCCCGTCTCTTTCATTATAAATTTATTTAACATGGCCAACAAATATATTTAACATACAGGCAGTCCCCGACATACGCGGATCCGACTTACGTCAGATCCGCAGTTATGAACGGGGCTTTTCCTGCAGACCAGGAAGACGCGGAGCAAAGCCACGGAGGGGCTCGGGCAGCTGGGCAGCCCAGGCGCGCCTGGG